GAAAATTACTGTTTGGGCTTTGCCATATAGTTCTAGTGAAAGTGACAGGGTAGAATGCCCTGAAAATTATTATTGTCTCTGCCTGGGCAATATAATAGGCCACATTGCATTCCACTCTTAGATGGACTGTCTCTGCTGGTGTTTTTCAGACTATTGTCCTTAACAGGCAATTGTTGAATAGTCATTTCTTGCACCTATTAACCTGTAGTGATTTAAAACAGTGATAGAGCAATTTATAAATGAGTCTTAGACATGCAGGCTTGAGCTCACCAGTAGCCCTTTGGTTTTCCATAGGACTTGTTTACTTAAATATTTATATTAGTCATTGGTATATGTGAGCTCTGCTGGTAAAGGGAGAGGATGGGGTTCAAAAGTTTTCAGGCACTGACTGCCAAAATTTTAATTTTGTTAAATCTTTTATTGTTCTAACGTTTGTATAGTCTTTCACCAAAAACACGAGTAGTAGCCAAACTTAATTGAGTAGTTGCAGTTTTACCAGGAATTTACAGAAAAAAAGATAAATCTCTTAATATGTTCTGTTACTACTGCAAGCTCAAAAAGTAATACTTATTTCAAGTGCTAACTCTAATATCCTTGGGTTTTTTTCAGCTTGTTTCAGAAAAGAAAACAGATAAAAACCTGTTGCCTCCCAAGAAAATTATTGGGAAAAATTCTAAAAGCTTGGTGGAAAAAAGACAGAAGGAATTAGAAATTTACCTACAAACACTTTTGATCAAGTTCCCTATGGCTGCACCCAAAGTATTATCATGCTTCTTACATTTTCATCTATATGTAAGTATTTTGTAAGCATCTGTTCATTTTACTTTCTTGCCCCTTTCTTCACAGATTCAAACTAAGAATCTGGTGATGTTTTCACACTATTTTGAGTGTTTTGGCACGTTTTATGTTTAAACAAAACAGGTCTAGAATCTCTTCCTTTGTAGGGTTTGGATAATACAAAGAGTTGAGCTCATGGACTGAGATTTACCAGTGATGTCCCTGGCACTATCCCTGTTAAAGTAGAGGCTGCATTAGTTGATAGTATGAACTGTGCCTTTGAAACGAGGCACTGTTTGGAGGATTCTCAGGTGCCCTGAATGAATCCACAGCTGGTTTAATTGCTGGGACCAGCTCTCTGGAGGAGACACCCAGGGACCCAGGGAATCCTCCAACTGTTTGAGAAGCCAGGAAGCCAGTGGACCCTCCTTCAGGAAGCTACTCGAGCTTGTCTGCCAGGCCGCAGCAACAGCATCAGCTGCTGGAGAAGACCACGTGGAGGTAATCATACCCTTCTGGTCTCCTACTCAAACAAGCACCTAGGAGCTGTGTGAACAGGGCCCCCACCCAGCACTATGGTGATGGGCATGCACTGCATCCTGAGGCTTCCTGATCTGGTTGAACCTCCTGCTCCTGGTACTTCAGGGGTTTTTACCCAGATGGAGTCCATGGTCCCAGCCTCCATGTAGATGGAGCCCTTGACTCCAGGCTGCGGATGCTGCCTGGCACGTCTGCTGGAGGCTGGGACCTGGGGTACAGGCACTCCCACTTGTGGGATGTGCTCACTGGTGGAGACTGTGGAGGGCTGGTTGAGGGAACTTGAGGAGGTGAGCAGACTGTAAGCCATCAGGGAACACAAGGAGGACAATCGATGCTTTCTGCCAGGCCTTGCAGCTGGAGAAGGATGCCATGGAGACCAGGAAGAAGAGCAAGCTTCAGCAAGATGCCTGTAATGATTAAGAGTGGCATTTGGTCACACCAGGCCCAAAGCCAGGACATGCATCAGCTACTCCACCAATAGCCCTAACACCATCGATGGATGAGGCATCTGTGTCCTGCACACTGAGGACAAGACAGGAACAGCTGCCCCCATCAAAGAAACAACAAAGGGGGATTGTTGTGGGAGACTTTGTGCTGCGGGGAACAGAATGTGCCATCTGTTGTCCAGACCCCTTTGCTCGAGAGGTCTACTGCTTTCCAGGGGCCAGGATTCATGATGTAACAGCAAAGATCCCAAAGCTGGTCTGCCCTACAGACCCCTACACCATGCTCCTTGTCCACGTGGGTACCAATGACACAGTGAGAAACAATGCTGGGAGAATCGTGAGTACAAGACCATGGGGGTGAAGCTCAAGGAACTAGGAGTCCAGGTGGTCTTCTCAGTCCTCCCAGTTAGAGGCTGTGGTTGTCGGAGGGAGGAAAGCATCGAAGAAGTCAACCGAAAGCTTCGGAGATGGTGTCACCATGTTGGTTTTGGATTCCTCAACCTTGGTATGTAGTTCAACAGTACTGGTCTGTATGCAAGAGATGGTGTCCACCTCGCGGGCAGAGGGAAGTAGCTCTTCTCTATGAGAATCGCTGACTTGCAGAAGAGGGCTTTAAACTAGGCAAGTCCAGGGGAGTGGGGGTCGATTCCACTGCCGGTCATAAATCCTCTGGTCAAGATGACCCAGGGGAGGGTATTCACATAGGGGACATCCACACGAGTACCAATGCCCTGAGACACTTGCAGAGGGACAAAGAACCTGAGAAGACTAGGGGTGAACTCAGCTGTCTTTATGGGAATGCCGGAAGCATGGGCAGTAAACGAGACAAACTGGCACTCCTGGCAGATGAGGAATTTGATGTCACTGGGTTGATGGAGATCTGGTGGGACTATACATATGATTGGGCAGTGGACAATGAGGGCTATAGGCTCTATAGGAAGGATCATGTTGGGAAGAAGGGTGGAGGGGTGGCCCTCTATGTGAAAGAGCAATACCCTTCCCTGCAGGTCATGTTTGACTGTACGGGGAGGTCCCTTGAAACCCTGTGGGTCAAGATATGAGGGGGCTTAGGAAAAGGGGACCTGACGGTGGGAGTCTACTATAGGCCTCCTACCAAGAAGAGGAGAGTGATCAGGCATTCTCCAGGGGACTGACCGAGGCAGCCAGCACTAAAGACTGAAGTCATGGGTGACTTCAACTACTCTGACATCTGTTGGGAAGACCATTCAGCCAGCTCCAGTATGTCAGCCAACCCCTCGGCAGCTATAAACAACCTCTTTTTGAAACAGGCTGTGGAGGGATTGACTGGGGTAAAGCCACTCTGGATTTGGTGCTGCCCAAAGGGGAAGACATGGTAGGCGACCTGAAGATTAAAGGTACTCTGGGTGATAGTGAACATGATCTGGTCAGATTCACCATCCACAGAAAGGCTGGGAATTCTGCCAGCAGTACAGAAGTCCTAGACTTCAGAAGGGCAGACTTTGGTAAACTCAGGAGTCTAGTTAGAAAGGCCCTTCGCAACCAGCGACTGAATGATTTGGGAAATCGGGAATGGTGGTGCTTCCTTAAGGAGACAATTCTCACTGCTCAAAAAGAGGCCATCTTCACACAGTCAAAAAGAGGGAAAGGAGCCAAGAGACCAGCTTGGCTCAGTGGGGACTTTAGGGAACTTCTTAAAAAGGAAAAAGTATACATGCAATGGAAAAACAGTTCAGTATCCAGAGAGGAGAACACTCGTACAGCTAGGGTCTGCAGGTATGAAATGAGGAAGGCCAAGGCATGTATAGAGATGAAGCTGGCAGCCGAATTAAAAGACAACAAAAAGTCCTTCTGCAGGTACATAGAGAGCAAGAAAAAATCAAGCTCTACTGTTGGATCCCTGCTGAATATGGAGGGGCAGGTCACAGTTGATCTTTGGCAAAAGGCAGAGCTCCTAAATACTTACTTCGCATCAGTATTCTTGAAATCAGACGGGAACTTGTCACCTGTCAAGAGGCCCAGAGAATACAGGGAAGACCGCAGTCTACATAAAATCAGTCCTGAACAGATGAAAGTACTCCTAGAACATTTGGATGTTTTCAAGTCTGCTGGGCCAGACGACCTGCATCCAAGAGTCCTGAAAGAACTGGCCGAACTCATTGCAGTGCCTTTGGCAAGACTGTTTGAAGAGTCGTGGAACTCAGGAGTGTTCCTGAGCAAGTGGAAGAGGGCTAACATGGTACCCATCTTTAAGAAAGGGAAGAGTAATGACTCTGCTCCTGGGAAACTGCATGCGTGCATGCGCGTGCGCCGTCACTGGCGCTGGGGCCTCTACATGACACAGTAGTGTGCCCCAGTGAGGCCTCCTCCCCTACAGCCTCAGCCCTGGTCCACCACTTTAAATGACAACAGGTAATAACTTACTAAGCAGCACAGTAGTACTAGCAGCATCTTAGGCAGTCAAACAGTCTCAGTCAATATCAGAGCAATCCTTGCCCCCGCTTTCTCCTTCCCTCTCATTACTTTGTTTCCCTGCAGGCAAGCCCAGCTTCATCTTCAAAACTTGAAATGTTTTGAAACTTGAAATGTTTTGACTACCCTTGTTTTGTTTCGAGGCTGTTTCGAAGCCCTTTATTTCGATTTCACTGTTTTGAGCTCAAAATGAGTCAAAACATCAGCGAAATAAAACCGAAATGAAACAGCCAGCGAAATTTTGCACAGCCCTAAAAACTATTATTATGTTGTGTTAGAAAAACTTCTCACAGTGATAGAAAAGGAAAGAAACATGCGAGTAAACTCAAGGCCGCAAGCTGCTCGGAAGAGGCAAGGCCAGCTGACATTGCAAACACCAGCAACATAAAAAGTTCAGATACCAGTGGGGCTATACAGAACTTTAGGCTGAATATAAACGACAACTTTAAACAATACTGTAATTCACCACTCTTTAAACAGGTGCAACTTTAAACCATAAAATATGACAAGCTACCCTAAGGTTTAAAAAAGTTAATTAATCTTTCATGTGTCATTAGACTTCAAGTTGCACAGTAGTTGTTTTGTAACAGAGAAGGCAGACATTAGAAGGAATATGCACTGGTGATTGAAACAGGAAGGAAAAGTAATAAATTTCTTTGGGACTGGGAGGTGCTGAGTGGCTTTTTATGGTTGTGGAAGCAGAGTTGCATTTAATCCATTAAGAAAAGTGATCAAGCTTAAATGACTAAAGAAAAAAATTCTTATTACATCATGTAATTAGAAAAAGCACTGGTGAGTTTAGAAAGCTCAGTTTGGGTAAGTAATAGAGCAGTGGTTGGCAAACTTTTTCAGGCTACGGGCTGGAATGATCCGGCTCAGCTTTGAGATGGGCGGGTGCTAAGACCCAGCCCCTGCTGCTGCAGCACAGGGAAAGTGCCACCGCTGCTTCTTCCTGCTGCAGCCCAGGAGAAGCTCCCACTACTGCCACTTCTCCCTGCTGCAGCATGGGGAGAAGCCCCTCCTGTCAAATGCCATGTCATCAAAGCCGTACATCCATGGGTTGGATGCAGTGGTTCAACTCAGCAGGCTGGATCTGTTCCGTAGGCTGCTGACCCCTGTAATAGAGGGTTTGTTTCATATTAGAGGGTTTATTCTGTCTTACCACTATTGGTGTGCAGTTTTGAGCAAATTCACCTGTTTGCATCCTGCGTTAAGTTAAAATGGTTTCAAACACTATAAATATACAGAGTAGCTTGTCTTGGTAGTTGAGGGAGAACTTTTTTTTTTTGGTTTGATTGTACACAAGCTTCCTGTGTGACCATGGGCAAATTGCTCATTCCTAATTCTTCACCAGCCTTAAATACCTGGCAAGCATCATGAAATAGGGCTCCAGACATTTCACCCAGAACACATCTGTTGTGCCCTCTCTCAGCCTGGCACATGACTAGTGTGGTCCCGCCCTCCATGAGATGAAGCCAAGCTAGGTTGTCCTGCCCCTCAGCTGCATATAAATATTTGGAGCATCCCAGAATTTGTGATAACACCCAGTTCTAGTCATGAGTGAGGGACTAATTAGCAATTGAATCCTTTGAGAAGGGCATCTGGAGTACACACACAGACTGAGCAGTGCTGAGCTTTGCGGTCACCATGGCTTGAAATGCTGTTGACTCTGGTGGGGTCCAGCCCAGTGGACTATGTGGTAATTCATGATGGCTTTGGGCTGATATGTATAATTTGTTTTCGGCCTTTTGGTTAAGCATGGCTGGGGGCATCTGAACCCCAAAGCCTCCAGGCCTGCGGGTTGCATGTTAGGATGCTTGTCTGGATCTGGGGAGTATCCAAAGCTCCAGATGGATGGGTTTGATTGGGAGGACACTTGCTGGATGGTAAAATCAGATAGACTTGATGATTGAGCACTGCTGAGTCGACTTGGAACTTGGCTACTGGGCTTTGTCCAATTAAATTTGAAGCTGATTTGGCCTTGAAAAAGATAATAAAAAAAGCTTGTACTAAATATAAGTGGGTGCCAAAGTGCTGCTCAAAAATGTGTTTATCAAACACCAGTGCTAAAACTTGTAGAAGTTAAAAAAAAGAAAAAAAAAAGTAAAAAAAAGTAATAACACATCAATTCTGGATGAACTAAGTGCATGGGTAGTATAAGCAAGTTGCTACAGCTGTGTTGGGTTGGCTTGCTCTTTGGCCTTGTGGCTAAGAGCAAGTGAGACTATGGGGCCTGGGGCTTGTGCATAAGATGCCTCCCATGGGTTTGGAGAGTATTTGAAGTCCCAGACAAATGGGTCTGGATGGCAGGATACTTGCTCAATGGTAGAGCCACACAGACTTTAATGATTGAGCTCTGCTCAGTTGAAATTTGGAACTTGCTTCTTGGGATTTGCCCAAGTGAATTTGGAACTGATTTGGCCCTTGCAATTGTGTGTGTGTGTGTGTGTGTGTGTGTGTGTGTACTATATGAAAATTCCTATAGCCATGTCTAATTTCAAGATCATTGTTTTCAGATTTGCTCCTCACTTCCGTGTGCTTAGGGAGAGCAGGGTCTGCCAGTAAGGGGTGGGGAAACAGACTGTCAGGGGATAAAGTTGGGAGAAGGCAGAGGGCTGCCTGACTCCCAAGATGTATTTTCCCTGTTATAGCAGTGGAAGAAGGACACATTTATGGCAACCCTCCAATATTTCCAGTTCTATATTTGGAAATTATATAAATTTATAAATTTGTGTAAATAATTTATACATTTTCCATATATAGAGTCTAATTTTGGGGGGTTGTCTTATAATCAGGGTCATCTGATACTTTAAGGTCTAAGACTGATTACTTGCTTTTGTTTCAGGAATGAAGTTGTTTTCAAGCCGTGCGAATAATACTTCATGGCAATATTCAATCTGATGTCTATAGGTGCACCGATATATTGGTGCCATATTGAATTGGCACGGATAAAAGGAAAATTAACATTATCAGCTATTGGGTTTTTTTGACTGTTGTGTACCCGATAATGTACCGATAAATAAAATATGCCTTTTGGCTGGGCCTCCTGGATGCTGCATGCATGCATGCAGCTGCAGCATGCACACGGTCATGAGTACAGCTGGGCAGTGTGGAGAGCAGTGCCTTGCAGGTAAGTCTGTGGAGGGGAAGGGGTGTGGAAAGATTGAGGCCCCCATGGTGAGGGAGGGAGTGATGCTGGGGCTGGGGGTGCTGCCCATCCAAGGCAGTAAATGGGACCTCGGGCCCGGGGCAGGGAGTAGGATGGAGCCCTGAGCGTCTTGTCCAGAGATGGGGGGAGGGAGGAACAGGTCCCCACACACCCCCAGAGGAGGGAAGGGGGGCATGTGGCCCCCTCATATTTTTTTGCTGGGCAGATGTGGGCTGCCCGCTGTGGGCTCAGGGCTCTCTGCCTTCTATTTTTGCCTTGGGAGCTGTGCGCTGGCCACATGTCCCTTGCCCACCCAGCACTGGTGGGCAGCAAGTTGTGTCTCTTGCTGTCGGGTGGGTGGGGTATGCAGCATAGTCCATGTGTGGCTCCTGGGGCAAAGGCAACAGGGCAGAAAGCCCCGAGCCCACTGTGGGCAGCCTGCCTCTGCCCTCCTTGACTCCACTCCTAAAGCATCCTTGCACTTAAAAATGGTGGCAGTGGCACTTTAAATAAGCTCATTTGACAAGCTTTAGTTCAAGCACGCCCACCGCCATTTTTAAGCACCAGGATTGCTGATCCCCTGGATGAGCTGCCTGTGGCTTTATTGCATTTCCTGCCCCAGTCCTAGGGTCCCATTGACCACCCTGGCTAGGCAGCACTGCTAGCCCCTGCCTCTGCCCCACTCCCTCCCTCACTGTGGGGGCCTCAGTCTGCCCCCCCACCACTCTCCACCATGCCCCTTCACTTCCACGGACTTACCTGCAGGGAGCTGCTCTCCACACTGCCTGGTTGTGCTCCTGTAAGCACTGTTAGATCAGTATCACCCAATATGCCTGGTTTGAATAATCAGCTGTTGGTAGTGGCCAAGAAAATCTTTATCAGTTCACCCCTACTAGCATCTCTTGTCTTCATTCTCTGTTAAACTTATTTAGCTAACCATGTGCCTATTTAATTGTCGTTTAGTGCTGGTTCTACTTCGTTTTGATAACTAAAATAGTATTAGTGCAGGTTATGTCCTCAAAGCGTCTTTAATATTTTAAAACATCTGTTAAGGGTCTAATCATGCTTGAAGTGTTCAGGATTTTGAAAGACATTTCTAAAGATCTGGTGCCTTAGCAGGAAAAAGAGATTTCTGGTATTAAAACATTTGAAGGAACAGTAAATATTTTTACTTAATCATAGTGATTTATTCTTTGCAGGAGATCAATGGGATCACAGCTGGCTTGGCTGAAGAGCTCTTTCACAGAGGTACTGTATGAAACTTCCTAGAATATAACAGGGCAACGGGGGATAACAGTATTCATGTGGTATACTTAGGGCAGGGGCGGGCAATTATTTTGTGCAGAGGGCCGCTTACTGAGTTTTGGCAAGGCAGCAAGGGCCACATGACAGGCAGCCAGGGGCAGATAAATATTAACTTTTTAAATTTTGTAGGGGCCCTGAGGGCCGGATAGAATGGCCTGGCGGGCCGTATCTGGCCTGCGGGCTGCAGTTTGCCCACCCGTGACTTAGCGATTTGCCTGGAGACAGCACCCTACAGATTTTTTTTTTCCTTTGAATGTTATGGATTACACTTTCTCTAGTTCATTTTTTGCTGTTCTTCACATCCTTCCAGGCAGCTTTTCTACTGGCTACTCCACTTCAGCAGATGTGTTGTGCTTTAAACAAATCTTAAGACACTGTGCTGGTTTGTAAAAGTACTGTGAAAGTAATTCAGCTGCCTGTTGATATTTAGCAAATAGATATTGCCGCGAGGATGTTCTCCTTTGCTGTTAGAACGGACTTGAAACTTTTGTCACATTCAAAACTTTCATATGATTAAGACAGAGCACAATTGTCAAAAGCTTTCTCTATATCTTGACTTATTCCAGTGTTTCCTATTGAGTTCTGAGGTATACATAAGGCTTACTTGTTACTAGTGTTGCAGTATACACTGAATTTGAGAGAGAGTTTTGTATTTCTAACTTAATAGTTTAGCTATATAATTGTTGGACCATGAGTACATTATTAGTCAGCTTGTTACAGAGCGTTCTTTTCTGAGAGTTGGAAAACGAATGCATTTCTCCTTGATACAGTAAAGGTAACTTTTGCTATTAATGAGCTGTTCTAGATCTCAGGAATAGAGAGCTTATGATAGCATTTCTCAATATTTTTAGACTTGAGACACCCCTTGGAAAATGTGAGCTCTTAATTTTCACTTGTTTTTTGATTACACACAACTAATAGAGCAATTCTTCTATTGCAGAGACCTCAGAAAGACCATAACTTGTCAAAATGTTTCTAACACTATGAATTCCCATTTGAAATTTCTGGGTTTAGCATATGAATCACGTTTTTACACCTAACAGTGCTAACATGTGTAGCACCCTGCATCACCCTTGAGAGAATCTTGGGGCACCCTGATTGAGGATCACGGGCTTATGAAATTAAGAACCATTTCATAAATAATATTCAGAAAATTGTGGAACTCTAAAATGTAGTTATCAGGCAGGAAGTTCATTGGAAACAGTTACTGTAGACTTAGTTTGATGTACACGATAGCAGAAGCTGAACATGGCCTTGATGTGAAACTTAGCGGCATAAGTTGGCATTATCAGTGAAGCTCAGCAGTGGCCTAACTCTACTTCGATTAACTCCAAAGGGAGCTTTACTACTGACTAAGTGATTTTGAAAATCTTAATCATGAGGTGATGTCTGCTCTGTCCCACTTGCCAAAGTTGCTTCCTTTGAGGGGAAGCAAAGAAAAGCTAACAATTCCAGTTCTGTATTTTTAATGGCTATAGGCACCACATCATTTTCTAGTATCTGAAATGCCATCTTGATAATGTGATGGTATTTCCTGCAATTTGATACCAGTACTGGAATAGCAAAGATTAGAAAAATATTGATGGTAATCAGGGTACATAAATCATTCTTCTCGTATTTTCTCCACAGCAGTGGAGGACCTTAGAGGTTTAGTCATGGCATGAATTCTTAAAGTACTGTAACTACATGATTAACATGACTGTGCTTTTATTTTTCAGGAGAACAATTGTTAATGGCTGGGGAAGTCTTCAGCATTAGACCATTGCAGTTATATGCTATCACTCAACAGCTGAGACGGGGGAAACCTACGTGTGCTAATGGAGATGCCAGAACAGATCTAGGTCATGTCCTAGATTTCACATGTAGGCTAAGATATTTAAAGGTAAAATATATTTGGGTACATGCTGTATGCATTATTTCATGCAGCTTTTAGCGTTATGCTTAATGAACTTTTGGAGTTTTTGTTCGCCTACACTAGTACATAGCTGCTGTCTGTTGTTAATGTCATTTCATCTTTCTGCAGTCAAGAGAAGGCCTGGCTAATGGTTTAGATTATTCACTTTATTTTGCGTAAATATAACACCACAGCTAAGGGTCTAAGGCTGAAGCTGATTTTTCCTCTGTGACAGCCTCCTATCAAATCTGCTGTAGGTGTTGTATATACATAGGCACCCAGATATGAAATCATCTCTTAATCTTGATTGGCTGTCAGAGGTGTACACAATTCAGTGGACTGTAGAATTCAAGGGCCAGTACATAATATCTTACTTTTCTAACAGTTTCTCTTCCTCCATCATGTTTTATCTATAATTGTAAATAACAGCAATTCCACATTTGAGATCGCAGGCAGTTTCTATTTAAAACTGATATTTCACTGTAAAAATTCCCAGTGTCCCCAAAATTGGTAGTATCAGTTAGGATCTACTGTAAATTTATTTTCCCAGTGAAGTGGGAGGGGTTTTCCTTTGTTGTACAGAATAAAAAGGTGATCCCCAGATTCTTTTTTCCCTCAGTATTTCATAACAAAAGAGCAGGTTCACTAGGTCTTAAGTAACTTCTCTCATTTACAGAGGTCATAATCCCACAACCAACAAATTTAAGTGCCTGGGAAGCATACAAAAGGTTCATTAGAGGCTTTGCACTCAAATTAAAAATGTGGTTCTATATTTTATAGAAAATGGAATGTAATTCTAAATGTAGTTGTTTCAGTGAAGCTTAGTCTTTCCTCTTGCATTCTGCAGAGCTACCTGTGGTTTATTTAACCTAGTGGCTCTTTCACAGGTTATAAAGCCAGATAGGACAATTGCAATTGGTTAGTTTGACCTCTTGTACCCTGCAGACAATAGATCTTCCCTGAACTAATACCTATTTGAACTACCATTTTTTTTAATAAACATCCAATCTTGATCTTAAGTCTCCAGAATTTCTAAAACTTGTCAGATCTAGTTGTTTGTGGCAAACAAGTGTATGTTCCTTCAGAGGTTAAAATAACCTGAGCAGTCTAATTGAGACCATCCTGAAAACTTTTCAAAGATTCAAATATTCTATAACAAGTATTTATAAATAAGCCACTTAGCTTCTCTAAGGGTAAAAATGCTAACTGAGGAAAATTATAAAACCAAGTTAGTCTTTGGATTTGCACTAAAGTTTTGCAAACAAATAGTTAACTTTATTCCAATTTCATCTTGGAAATGTCTTTTCCAGCTTCGTACACTGGGGTGGAAATATAGGTGAATGGGAGATTACATATTTTAGGAAAATTTGATTTTTAGTGAATGAGAGCGTAGGGTGTCGTCTTTAAGTGGAAATGTCATTCTCAACCACTGTGTCCTTGCCACAATTCTGATTGCTGCGACATGTAAGCACAAAGTGGCAGCCTTACTCTATTCTTCACTTCCTATGATTGACTTGGGCCATTGAAATTTTCCTTCTGTTTTTAAGTGCTGAATGTATAGACAAGAGCCCATTTCAGAGACTCTTGGTGGGTGTTTTGGAAGGCTTTTCTAAGCCATTGTACTTGGTTCAATCCTTTGTAAGTTATAATAGATATAAAAACATTAGAAGTGCCATACTGGGTCGGACCAATGGCCCATCTAGCCCAGTATCCTATATCCAACTGGCAGAAATCGAGGCTATAGGGAGAGCACTGAACTGGATATCTCTAGAGTGATTTTTATCCCCTATTCACTGTCCTCCCTGGCATCCACCATTATAGGTTTAGTGATACCAGAGGAAACATTTTCCATCATTCTGTTCAATAATAATTAATAGGTGTATCATCCATGAATTTATCCAGGCCCTTTTTGAACCTAGTGGTTTGATCTGCCTCTACCACCTCCTGTCCTGTGGCAACACAGTTTTTTAAAAAGTCTTTGGTTAGGGACCATGGCAAAAGCTTTTTGAAAGTCCAAATATATTATGTCTGCTGGATTCTATTTATCCATGTGCTTGTTAACACCCTCAAATAACTCCAGTAGATTGGTGAGGCAGGCTTTCCCTTTACGAAGACCATGTTGACTTTTCCCCATGTGGCTGCTGATTTTGCCAGAGATGGAAGTGAGACTCAGTGGTCTGTAGTTCCTAGGATTGGCTCTGGAGTTATTTTAGAAGATTGTTGTTATGTTAGAAACCCACCAGTCATCTGGCACAGAAGCCATTTGTAATGATAGGTTGCATGCTACTGCCAGCAGTTGTGCGATTTTACTTCAGAGTTCCTTTAGAACTCTTGGGTGAATGCGATCTAGTCCTGGTGACTTATTAATACTTAGTTTATTAATTTGTTATAAAACTTCCTCTGTTGTCACTTCAGTTTGGTTCAACTCTTCAGACCAGTCTACTAGAAAGGAGTGATGTGGCTTGGGAATTTTCCCAGCATCTTCTGCGGTAAACCCATGCAAAAAAATTTATTATGGCTTTATCATCCCTGGCTGTGTCCACACAAGTCTAGACATTTGGTTCCCTGGGGACAACTAGTAGTGACACACCTTATGCCACTGCTGGTTGTTCCCGGGGAATGCCTGTGCCACTTGCCTTCTGGTGTGTGGAAGGTTACCCTGGGTGGGGTAGAGGAGGCTGGGGCCAGCACTGCTGCAAGGGAGGTGGAACTGCAGTGTCCCTGAAAGCCTCATCTGTGAACAGAAGCTGCTTGCACCATGTGCACATATATGAAACATGCCTCCGAAGGAGATAATCATATATTCTGTATTTGGTACAATAAGCTGGGTACACCCCATGCTGCTGCTGGACTTTTACCTGCATTTTTTTAAAGTGGTAATTTAGTTTGCTTTTTTTTGTGAGGGCGTTATTTATAGATTCCCTTATATTAGAAACCTTGAACTTATGGATTGACCTGTTTAACCTTACTCTACCCTAACTGCAGCTCAATATTAAACAAGGAACCTAAGTATTGAGTTGTAAGACAGGATCTAACTAAGGGGGTGATCGGTTATTTGGGCTGGAGAGCCATTTGGGGAGTTTTGGTGAGCTGTTCCAGGCCAAGTCAGCACGGTACACCAAAACTTATCTAAGTGGCTCTGCCCTAGACCCCACCTCTGCGTTGTCACCACACAGTGATACCAGCCATGGCCCTGGAATCTCCATGGAGACTGGCCCAGGACATCTGTGGACAGGGTGTGCTCAGCTGGGCAGATGGGATTGGACTGCAGGGAGTGGTGTCTGAGAGCAAGATGAGTGGATGTGGATTGTGGGGCAGTGACAGTACAGGGCTGAGTCCCAGGGCAGAGCTGTGTTCTACTCCTGGCATACCCCTGCCCATGGAACTGGCACCCATTGCAAGGACATGTGGGCAGTTGATCGTGGCTCTGTCCTGGGCCCTGACCCTGTGCTGTTATTTCCCTGCCCACCAGCCTGTCTGTTTCTCTCTGAGAGTCTGCTCTCTGCCTGCCTGTAGCCCCATCCCATCCGCTGGCTGAGAATGCCCTGTCCACAGGGGGGTCCTGAGCCAGTCTCCATGCAGACCCTGCTTGTCTGCTCCATCTGGCACCCCTGACAGGGTGGATGGGTTGGGATGCCTGGGCAGTGGTGCCAGGTCCATTGGTGTCAGTGACACTGGCAGCAGCAGCAATACTAGCAACAGCAGCTGGAAGGAGCTATCACTATGGGGGCTGCTGGAAAGGAGAGTCTGGCTGCTTCAGTACTTTATCCCTGCTGTGTACCTAAGGGCAATGGGACCAGCTGCGTGTGCTGCCTCCTGCGCCTGGGCTGGGTGGGGCCAAGAGACCCACTGCAGGCTGGATAAAATCCATGGCAGACTGCATCTCGCCCGCAGGCCATATTTTGCCTACCACTGATATAAATACTAAAATTTCATTGATGTTAGGGGCTGAAAGGGACCTTATAGATCATTAGGTGCAGCCTCCATGCACTTGCCCAGAAAAGACTGTTGGGGTCAGATGACTCCAGCAAGGTGGGCATCAAGGCACTTTTTGAAGATCGCTAGGGTGGGTGACAGCCACCTCTGCAGGGAGCCTGTTCCAAACCCTCGGCACTCGACTTGTAAAGAAGCTTTTCCTTATGTCCTTTCTGAAGTGATCTTCAGTCAGTTTGTGCCCATTGTTTCTTGTCTTCCCCTGGGGGGCCTTGGTGAACAGCTGCTCCCCGAGGCCCTGATGTGCACCCCTAATATACTTATAAGCTGCCACCAAGTCCCACCAAGTTTAAGTTATTTCAGCTAGATACCTAGGTTAGTTATAGAAGTGCACCAGTGTGTTGGTCCATATTGTATCAGCACTGATAGAAGGAAAATCAGCATTATTGGCAATCAGCCTTTTTTTGCCTGATGTGGCTGACAATGTCTCCAATAAATGCTGTGTGCATGTGCACAGCCACAGCATGAATGTAGCTAGCCCAGCAGTCTGGAGAGCAGCATCTGGCTGGTAAGTCTGTTGGGGTGAAGGGGCATGTGGGGTGACAGATTGAGGCCCCTGTGGTGAGGGAGGGAGGCGCTGGGGCAGGAGCAGGGGCAGGCACTGCCCAGCTGGGGCTGAGCAGGGTGGGGCATGGGACAGAGCCACAAGAGGCTCATCCAGGGGATGCAAGGATGGGGGTGGATCTCACTGCTATGTGCCTCCTGGATCTGTGCATGGGGTGATGGTGGGCTGCAGGCTGAAGCCGGGGGCGGTGCTGGATTCTTCATGGCAGAGGGGGAAGGGGGTTGGGCCAGGGCTGCATTCGGAGTGGGTGGCAGCAGCACTGGGAGGAGGGCTATGCGGGGTGCCTACAGCAGTTTCCCACCCCATAGCCCTCTGCCATGCCATCTCCACCACTGTCCACTCCGACCACCCCCCAACAGACTTATCAGCTGGACGCTGCTCTCCAAGCTTCTGGGCTGCATATCAGCAATCGGACTGGTATTAGCTGATATGGCTCGTTAATAATTGGCCATTGTTATCGGCCCAAAAAAAGCTTCATCAGTGCACCCATAGTTAGTTACTCTTTAAGTTCATCGCACCTTGAAAGAGAGATGTTGCAAAGACGATGAACATTAATTCTGTCTTTAATCTTAACTATTAGGTGACTGGCACAGAGGGACCTTTTGGGAACAGCAACATTCATGATAGTCTGTTACCTTTTGATCTTTCAATTTTTAAATCTCTTCAACAAATAGAGGTAAGTTTGAGAAACTGTTTGGTCATTAACTTTATAAAACTATGCAAATATTGGGTTTACCATGGCATTATTGCAGCTTGCTGTATTTCAGTCATATCAGTTAACTGTCATCTACTTGAATCCTAGACATAACTTCTGAAGTTCTTTTCATATTTAATGTCTAATAAATTATACAGTAACTTTCATTAAGAAGAAGATGGATGCTAGACTAGATATGTAGAACAGTTAATTTCATGCCTTCTACATAAAAGATCTTAATATTTAGAATACAATTTTAGCCTGTATATTTATTTTAAAAAATCAAACATCACTGTGGTTGTTTCCAGGCTAAAGGAGTTTTTGTAATTGTTTATGGAATATACGTTTGTAAAGAAGTATCAGTATATGTCTCCACTAATATATTGGCCATGATCTGGAAGGCCTGTTTTTAAGCTTGGACTGAGCTCAGTTTGTATGCCTGTTTAATCTTTCTTGGCAGCTAGAAAGCTTGGCTGTTAGAAAGGGTGTCAGTTGTGGTGTTTATGTTGTGATTTTTTTAACTTCTTTTTGGTAGGAGCTAACTGGATTGAAGCTCCTGAGAACCTCTGGTACTGATCTTCAACCAGTATTAAAATAAAGAAAACTGGAACTTTGATTTAACATAAAAGTTTCTCTATGCTTTAAGCCAGAGGTGTCAAATGTGTGGCCCTTGGGCTGGATGCAGGGCACAGAGTTCTGTGCTCCAGCCCCTGGTGCCAACCCCCTTTGCTGTGCCATACCAGCCCCCTGCACAGTGCCAAGGAAGTGCACCACCACCTGCGGTGCTTGTTCATGACAAGTCCCAGGCATGCTGCTCACTGGGGCCAATCCAAGGCTGCAGTACCTGTGCCTCTTGCTGCCAGACCCTGGCTGCATTGCACTGCCTGTACCTCAGCGAGTAGTGTGGGTGGTGTAGCCCAGGATGTGGTCCCAGTAAGTGGTGTTGGTAGTGCAGCTCAAAACTGCCAGTGAGTACGGCAACCCACTGGGGTTGGGTCCTGGGCTGTATTGCCTGCTGGGGCTGAGTCCCAGGTGGCATTGCCTGTACCTCACTGGGTGATGCAGTCCAGGACCCTACCCCAGTGAGAGGCTCAGCCTTGAACTCAGCCCCATTGTGCAGCGCAGGTGGTGCAGCCCAGCACTGGCCTCAGTGGGGCAACCCTCTGGGGCCAGGTCCTGATCTGTGCCACCCACCAGGACCAGCTCAGGTGGATGCTGCATGTACTAGATCAAGTATGTGGGGGATGGGGAGGGTCCATGGGCCTGATCCAGCCCATCAGCATTCATCTGGCATGCAAGGCCAGAAGAGTCTGAAACCTCTGCTTTAAGCAATCCCATATGATTAATGGACTAAGAAATACAATGCTCAGTGTAGTTTCTTCTACAGCCTTTAACTTTTTAAATGTAGAGACTGTACAAGGTTTGATGGTATAGTCTAGTAAAGTTGTCTATATGTAAGTCTTAATATAATTATGAGGTCTTTTTTGGTGAGAGTGAAATTTTAAGTCCAATTAAACTGGGTAGCTTCATGATTAGAGAGAGGATTTTTAAAATATTTTTTTCATTTTTTGGTAACGGGCCGTTTTGTTTAAAAAAAAACAAAACAAAAAACCTCTTTGAATTTTGCTTCTTTATTTATTCATCCCAGTCTTTTGCTTTGGCCTGTCCAAGTTTAGGCATTTCTGACCTAATTGATCCTAGCATTTATCCATATTTTATGGAAGAGCTATTTTAGAGGAAAGTTGTAAATGCTTTGCATAGTTTTGTTTAATTGAGAAACTGATATATGAGCTGCTACCAGCATCATTTTTGGCACTTAATACCAATTCTAATACCATTGTACTTGTTGCATGTTTTGTAAGCCTGTATTTTTCTTCCTAACCAGATAAGTCACTGTGGTGCAAAGCTTATTAAAGGGCTTACTTCATCAAAGCACACTCTAGCCACCATGAGTGTTCGATTTTCAGCAACATCAATGAAAGTAAGATTTTAATTTTTTTTTAAGCTGGCAGTTGTTTAAAAAAAGATCAAAAATTAAACTTTCAGTTGCAGGCATGTATCTGAAATCATGCCTTTAATTTTCATAGAGAAGCAAGGATTTCCTAGAATGCTATTTTTATTGGACTTATTGTGCGGTTGGGATAATTAGATAAGCTTTTGAATGCTTTCTTCTGTTGATTTACATTCTGCTATTAAAGACCTATGATAGAAAGGCGCTATTGAATTTGTCATTTAGTGTCACTTGAAATGTGAAAGAAGTGTTATTGTTTCTGTTTTGAGTCTTTAATCTTTCTTTATGAACAAGTATTTAAAAATCTCTTACAGTTTAATAAAGTACAGTAGTATACCAGTTACTTACCTGTGACTGTGAACTTATTTCTTGCTTATCAGTTTCTTGCATGCTGATTAATTGCCACGCGTTACATTTATTGTGCAGTTAATTGGTTGATTGCACAATAAATTTAGACGGTCTACATTTGCAAAGTAATTATCTTAAAATAAAAATGGCCAGTCAGCCACAAAGATGTTGCTTGAAAAGTGTAGAGCATTTTTGTAGCTGGTTTCTATGAAGCTTTAATTTGAGTGTGTGACATGTCAAACAGAAGGTGATAGTATTTGGCCAGGTCCTCCAGGATCCCAACCTCTGTCCCATCCTCCCTTCCTACAATGGGATTTCTGTGATTCATGCTGAAATTTGGTGCCCCAGAGTGCCTCAACAAGAGATGCCATGATTCGATGGCCCTCCTCCACCCTCCCCACACACCCTTTTCCCCAACCAGCAAAGGCAGGGAAGCAGCTCCTTCACCCAGAGGGAGCTCAGAACTCACTTCTCATTAACTGAAGATATGTCGGGGAGTGGATGACAGCCTCTGCCAGCAGCTCTTCAGTTCTCCTTCCTGGCAAGTGCTGGCAGACCAAGGCCCCAGGACACTCTTTTCCTCTCTGGATAGTTTGCCCTGTAAACATGAAGCTGGTGACATAACATGACAGTGGACTTATCTACATATATGCTTTAACGAGCATTAACCTATTTTAATGCATGTTAAAGCATCACTTAAAAATGTGGTATGTAGTTAATGCACATTAAAATAGGCTAACGCATCTTAAGCATTGCTTTAAAAACCATGGGCACTTTTACCTGTGCTCTGGGGGTTGGGGGTGTGCTTAAATTGGAGTCGGCTCTGAGAGCTGCTGTAATTAAAGCACTGCCACATCTCATGTATCAGTGTGTCTGCACTTAAAAATGGTGGGGGAGCTTGCTCATTGAACAAGCTTTAGTTCAAGCACCCCTGCCGCCATTTTTAAGCACAGGGATGCTGATGCACCAGACTCAGGAGGCTGCTGGAGCACAGTAATTGCCATGCTCCAGCAGACTCAATTAGTTGACTCTGCTCCAAAGCGTTGGAATTCCGCACTTGTGTTTAGGTGCCCCATGCTCTTCAGTTAATGCACTTTTTGTTAGTACCTCACAAGTACTAACTAAAGTACCTGCTTCCTATCAAGCAACATTATCAGTTGCTTGGTGGAAATAATGTTTGCCAGGAGCCTGACTTATGGCAACTGTAGTTATCTTTAATAATCTTAGTATTCTTCAGATTCTCTGTTTGAGCTTGTACTGCTTTTGAAGCTTAGTTGTCAGAGCTTCCAAACTTGAATTTAAAATCTGGAGTGACTGTTAATTTCACCATTTGCAAAGACTTCCTAGATTATTGTTGTGAGACTTCATTCTGAAAACTGTCAGTTTCATGCAAGAAAATATATTTACTGATTTTAATATTGTTCTTCAATGTCTGTCTTAAACAGGAAATCCTAGTGCCTGAAGCTTCTGAATTTGACCATTGGGAGCCAGAGGGTGCACTTTCAAGTGGTCCAGTAACAGCCATTATTCCAACTTGGAGGTCTTTAACAACTTTAGATATGAGTCACAATAGTATCTCTCAGATTGATGATTCAGTGGTAAGAATTCTTGGATCAATCTGCAAGACTTTTTTCATGTTTGGAAAAAAATCTACAGCTAGCACACCATGGAATACTAATCAACTGGGCTTTTAAAAAAATCACTTTTAGAGGGTCTTCCTTTGCAATTGTGTTTTCCTTTTACTGAATATTGTAGATTGCCAATTTAAAGAATAGACTACTAAAAATATATTTTGGAGCAGTGCAGTTTCAGACTAGTCAGACTTGTTTTACTACATAAATATGTAGTAACAAAGCCAAGGGTCTCATGTTACTTTTAAGAGGAGACTGGAGCAGGCTGAGCTGGCTGCATGAGCCTGACAGCTTGAAAGCAGGATAACTACTAGGAGGCTGCCAGAAAAGAAGGACAGTAGTAGCCACACAGAAGAGGCTTTTTCTAGGAGCAGTAGGAAAGGAAAGAGCTGCAGAGTAATACACTATGCCAGGGTGAGCATCTAGGCAGCACAGAAGCAAAGGGCTGCAGAGACAGTGAAGGTGGCCTGGTGATTTGGAGGGCAAAGTGCCCACCTAAGTAATGATTGGGAACACCTGTAAGGCATGGGCCTGGCTCCAGGGGAGGTTGGAGGCCATGAATTGCCCATAAGGCAACAAGTGTCCTGGGAGCAAGAATAGACCAGGAGGGTCCACTGGATTTGAGGGATAAGGCTATGTGTAGCAGGGTTTGGGAAGGATCTGCTGGCCTCTGGGCTTCACAGTTCACTCAGGGGCCCTGGGAACAGCCTCCCTATTCATATTCCAATTGTTCCATCAAAGGCATGACAGGTGAGGAAAGAGAGAGGGCGCTTTAGGAGCTCCTTGGAGCAGGGCAGAAGCCACATGGCTTCCAGGGAGCATCACAGACACCTCTGTAGCCCTGATTCTGCTACAACTTCCAAACAAAATGTCTGCAAAATGTGAGTGAATGAATTACTGAAAAGGTACATTCTGAAACTCTAACTGTTCAAGCTAGCTTTAGTCCTAAACTTATTATAAGAAAACCAGAATTCCCTTCCAGGCTAGATCTTGTTCTCTAGGTTGAAACTCTGAGTTAAAAACCTTTTTGCTGATGTTTAATGACAGATAGGTTGGCAACATAGGTAACACCATTAAAAAGGGTGTAACAGACTCTGGGAGAAAGAAGCAGCCCAGAGGGAACACTGCAGACCAGGCAGGGCACAGTGAGTACAGGTCACCGTAGCAACTGGGCAGTGAAGCCAGTTAGCAGGCACTTGCAAGCAGCCCAGGATAGTCTTCTGATCAGAAGAAGGCAAGGCCCTGGGAGGTGTATAAGCCCAGGGCCTGAGCTGTCAAGTTAGTCTAGCTCTGCAAGCCACAGGGTAGGAGCTTCTGGCCAGGAAAGCTATCAGGGGACACTAGATGGACTGCTGTGCTGCCTGTGGATCCCCAGTGTGGCCCTGGGGCCTCAGGGATATAAACCCGGAGCTGGGAAGTTGTGCTGCCACAAGAAATGAGGGAAGGGTTTACCTCTTAAAGGGGCAGAAGGCTGTTTCTCTTTGTGTGCCAATATTGGTGGGCCTGAAAGGGACTGTTTATGTTATAGCCTGCGGGTTTATTGTTTGAGTTGCAGTTTAGTATACCAGTGGTTTGTATTGGGACTGTAAGGGGCAACATACGGAGGTACCATTAGTGCCCTGGGGACATGCAATCGCCTTGAGCTCTGCCAGGGGCAGGCTCAAGGCCTGAGCGAGTGCTCATCACAGAGCAGGGCAAAGCATGAGGCTACAAAGTCAGGTGGGGAACAGGGACCCAGCAGCCAAGAGGGGCACAGCCAGACAGGGGGCAGGGGCTTGGGGCCAGCACCCAAGAAAGGCACAGCCAGGCACGGGCTAGGGGCCTGGTGCCCGAAAGGGCTAGACCAGGGCTGGTGCCTTTCAGCCAGGTCCAATACAGTGGGCTCAGACTAGAAGCTCTGTCTAAGAGCAGAAGGGCAGCAGCTGAGGAAGCTGAAGCCTCAACAGGAAAGTAACAATACAGCAACACCCGTGAGGCTTGGAGCATGGTGTAGGGAGGAACAGAGCCACACAATTAGCCTTTAAGGCTACAGGTGCCCTACAGTGGCACAGTCAGTGGAGGGCCAGTAAGGGGCTGGGGTGTAGTGAGACCCAGCAAGGGCCCTGGGAGTAGTGTAAGTGAGGGCAGTAGAGTGCCAGGGAACCCCAGTGGGAATCCAGCTGGACTGGGGCCCATGCTAAGGCCAGTGGGCAGCCTCTCTTTTAATTCTGTTATTACATCAAGGTGTAGTTGGTAGACAGAAGAAAAGGCATCCTAGAAGCAGAGCAGGGCATGGTTGCAGAGCCACCAGGGGGTACCACATCTGCCCCTGGGACCCCAACATGCTACATAAGGAAAAAGCTTCAGAATGTGAAGGTAACATTGGTAAAACTTGGTTAAGACATTGCTTCTTTTACAACTTACAGATAAGTACTGAGTACTGATTTTACAGGTTTGAGTCCAGATGTTTTTCCCTCCCTTCTTTCTGACTGTCTGTATTTTTAAACATTATAACGAAGACAAAGGTACATAATGCAGGCACTGTAACACTGAATCAGTGAGTCAGCAATGAATTCTCTGGCATGAATTGGTTGAGGATAAGAGTGTATGTAGGATCCTGAGGTTATAGTGGCCATCAACATGTTTTCTTAAAGTGTTAGAATTACTTGATGCTACTTGTAGAATGTTTTGATTACTTGACGAGGCACTCAAGTTGATCTGACTCTTGCTATTTTAACATCTGGGTTGCTGTGTATATCCCTAGTAAGGTGAAACATCTTGAGTGACTAAATTGGGTGTTGCACACTACTGAGTGAGACATCAGGATTTCAAATTAGAACTTGGTTTAGTTTCTCAAAGTAAAGTCAGTTTTTGCAAAACTAAGATGCCTTTTTTTTGCATAACTTTTTAGGGACTAGGTGTCAGTATGTACTTGCCTCAGTAGTTAATCATCAGGATGTCTGGGGAATGTGGATAAATTGACAAAAAGTAAGGGACATTTTACTTCATAAATATTTTTTTTTCCAGAAACTAATTCCGAAGATTGAATTTTTAGATCTGAGTCACAATGACGTGTCACTGGTAGAAAATTTACAGGTTAGTGCTACTTCTGAAGGTGGATCTAGTTTCCAAACTCTTTGGCACTTGAGAACACAGAACTGTTTTGTTCAGACTCTCTTGCTCACTGCCTTTGTTACAAAATGTGGATTAATGGTAAAGTTTGTTACATGATGACACATTTAAATCAAGGGTTATGTGCCCTTCATATCTGCACATAGCTGTATGCTGCTCTTACCCTCCATTTTCCCTACTCATATTTTTTTTCCTTGCTACACCAATGCTTACACAGCTGTCCAGGGTCAGTAGTACTTTGTCTTTGAGCATGGACAGCACTTCAAATCCTTCTTCAATTTGGAGTGCTTTACTCTCACACAAACATACAGGCTGAAGCACTTTTCAGTGTGTCAGAACCAAAGCTATTATACCACTTCAGAGTTAGGTGCCAGGTCTGTTCTCAAAAGCCTCCAAGTGGGGTGATTCATGGCTGAGTGGCAACAGCAGAGTAGGTAGATGACCCTAGGCTTCTGTTTGGTGCTTCTTGATGTTGCAGGGCTGGTCAGCATTCATTGCAATCCCAGTGGGAGCAGAGAATGGACATCTGGTTCCTTGCCTTCCCGCTTCTCATGGAGCTGTGTTCTGCTTGTGGCAGAGTGAGTGTCTTTGCTTTCCTGGCCATGCTTTCCATCCTGTTTGAGCACTTCTTCCAGCTGATGTGCTGCAACATGAAAGTGCAAAGCTCCATGATTTTGGCCAGGGGCAGGTAAAATATGGCTATCAGGCCCACAGGGCCCATAAAATTTTTTTAAAAATAATATTAATCTTGCCCTGACTGCCTTCAAAGATGACAGGAGCCAGCAGCAGCAGGACCCAGTGGCAGCAGTAGCAAGGCCCACTGGCCCTGCCTCATCCTCAGCCCAGCCATGGCCTGCCCTGCTGCACCCCACCCCATCCCTTACTCATGTGTAGGTAGATAAGATTATACAATCCCCA